GTGTCCATTAGAAGTATTACCTGATGCACTCTAGTTCCTTGTGTTATTTTACTAGTGGCGTCGACATAGAATTGATGGCGCTTGAGTCGGTCATCAACACTAATGAATCCGGACTTCATTGCCCGTAGTTTCCTGAAGTCTTGGTTTGGACACAGGACGTGTCTGTCCCAACTCCACGGATGACAAACAGAACCAGTGGATGTGGACAAGTGTGTCTCTGTCACGGGAGCCACAAGCGAGAAGTAAAACAAACATCAGCAGACTGTCCTGCGTCCACTCGGGACTTCGCTAGATTTGCAGATATCCATATCTGTCCATATCTGTAAATGCCAAAACGTATTACAAGAGGTGGAGCAGAGGTCACAATGGGAATTTGACCTCTTTGCTAACGAAATAAGAAAAGCGATGTGGCACAAACACATCCAGTCCCAGCCAATGACTCTGGGGAATCAACCATCTTCTAATGGTTTTCAAAAATAGCATTAACATCACCAAGTGGGCACTAAATACCAAAGTGCAGGCCTCAGGCAGCAGCTATTGTCCCTTTGGGGACGTCCAGGCTGGACTGCAGGATGAAGAACATGTAGACAAATATGAACCAGTGGCTCAACAAGACAAGTGAGCAAAAACATCTCAGGCCAAAGAAGAAAATCTGATCAGAGTCCTTTAATATCACACGTTTTATTAAGCCCTGGTATTTTAGAACAAATATCTAACACAGCATTTTATAAAAGGTGCTCTGATTAAGCTGTCAATCTCCGTGCATCGTTTGCTCTGTCGTGATCGCACTATGACGGTGTCACTGCTGCTGCTTCTGCAGTTCAAGAGCTAAAAGCCCCAAAGAAACAATGCCCACTCTCTGTATTTGCATCTCAACTCAACGTGTGTCGCGCCCACTTGCCGTGGCCGTGCACCAAGAAAGGAACATTTAAACAGATTGGTGTGAACATTGGATGTGCGATTGGCATGGGGAGGTAAGTGTGAGGCGCACCGCCACCACCCCGCCGGGCGTTTGGGAGTTCAGGTGCCAGATATCCAGGAGACTTGGTCCCAATTGAAGGTGGTTTCCTCCAGCGGCTCAACCTGCCCTCGGTACAGTGCAGCTTTTGTTCCTCCAGCGGCTCCAACTGCCAGACAGACCTGTCGGGTCCGTTATCGGGACTCTTTGTCCTGGTAACAGAGGAGAGTTTCCCCTGGAGGAAACAGAGTCGATCTCACTCTGCAAAGCCTCCACAACCTCACCGCCTTCACTATTTGTTTGTTTGTGTTTTTAAATGGATTCATTGATTTATGTCCTTCAAAGTTCGATGTAATCGAGAGACCTTTTTTCTCAATTTTGCTGATCAAATTGTAATCGTGCTTTCAGAGGACGATGCCACTGTTCTCCAGAGGGAACCTCATTACAAGATGTTTCACATGGAGTTGCAAGCGCATGTCCCCCCCAATATCGACAAAATACCAATCGGTCCCCCCAATACACAGCAGAAAATATGTCAAAATACGTGTTTCCTTCCTCTTATGAGCCATTTGTTAAGCGGAATGCACCGGGACTCTCTGAGCGCCCAGCGGGGCCGTAGTGTCCCCCCCCCCCCCGTCGAGCGTAGCGTCCAGCGGACCCCCGATGTCTAAACCATGGTCTCACCCTTTTTTTTATTCTCTCTGCAGTGTAATTTGAGCCCACTTACATTTCACTTCATTTTAACTACTATTTAAAGGGGTAAATCTCTATATAAACTCTTGCTAATTTATTTATTAAAATAAACAAAGTTCTTTATCTTGTCGTGTGATTATTTAACTATTGTGTGATTTTCCATCTGCACATTTACGTTGCTGCACCACTGTGGATAAACCAGCATCTGTTCCTGCACCCGGGCAACCAGGCATGCGGCCTAAACCCGGTTCTTCCTGTGACGCTGGAAGGAGAAGCCATGCATGTAACGTGTGGAACCAGTGCAGCTCCTTTGTTGTCTGAGGACACGTGGATGTAAACTGCTCACAGCCGCAGAGCTACTTCTGCAGATGTTCGCCGTTTTTTTTTGGCGAACCAATCAAAAGCCGACGTTGGGAGCGGAGACGTCGGAGACACTGGCGCTAAAACGGAGCATTTCAGACAGACGGTAGGAACAGGCGGAGAAAATAAAGTCTCACTTGGGTATCAACACATTTAAACTTGTTCTAACAGAAACCCCCGAAATGCAAGTATGTACCTGACAATTAACACAATTGGTCCTCGAGTCAAATTTCTCTCCATCAAGTAATGAAATGAATGGCTGCCTCGGAGGGAGGACTTATTACCCTGTCAGTCACAAGAGAATCTCAACACGGTGCACAGAACACGACCAGAACATACTGTTGGCAACTTAACTAGAGATGTATTTGTGTTCTAACAAAAATCTCATGTGAACCGTATGGCCGTCTTAAGGCAGTAAGGAACAGCATCCGGTGTGGATGACGGCCGCTGCTCAGAGGAAAAGTCATTCTGCTCTTGGGGATTATTGTTACAGGTGGACAGAATGTCTCCTTGCATGGAGACGCTTTTACCGGCCGCAGGTTGCAGAGTGAAAAGCGTCCACGGGGACACTGTGCTGTTGACCGGCCGAGAGCACAAGACAGAAAGTGTAAAATACAGTGATTCTTGACACCCAAATTACAGTGTGCACGCACACACACACACACACACACACACACCGGCGTCTCCCAGGATGGTGAGACATGGAAAAATCAATGTGTGGTATTTTCCTCCAAAGTAGGAAAATGCCCGAGGCAGACGAGCCTCTCTGTCCTCTCCCGCCGTCAGCGGTCTGCACGCTTCGTGGCGCTGCAGGCTTCAGAATCGCGCTTCGCACACTTTCATTCATCACATTCATTGATGAATTCATCCGATCAATCTGAACGGTTGCATATCCGCTCCAGTTGGTGCATCTGGTCTTTTAAATTGGCAGGAAACACATTGTTTGAAATTGCACTCAAAAGCTCTCCGAGCTGTATTAGCGACTTCATGGCTAACTCATAGTGTTTCTATCAAATACATAAACGACAGATATCTGCCCAGTAACAAGGTGGGTTCTGAAGAAATAACAAAAGGCCGTTTGGTTTCATGTACATGTTTGTTACTTGCCAATGTAGTCAACTAAAATAATTTAATTTTGGTGGATACATGAATTCAATTCATAATAAAGTGACGTAATATCATCAAAGACCCAGAAGACGAGGAGATGGTTGGTTCCAACGAACACGTGCTTTACACGCAAATACTGACATAATGTTAACTGAACTAAACTGTGTGTAGTTAACAACAACCACAATGTCTTTTGTAAACCTAACAAGTGGTTTTGTTGCCTAGACGTAACCTTCTTGTAGTGTCAAAGAAAGAAACCGACAAACCAACAGTTTTGCAAACTGCCAGCAGACGGTTTTGGGCTCCGGCAGCGCACGAGTCAGTGCAAAGATAAAGCCGAGTGGTCATTTGTTTAGGGTGTCATTATATCTGTAAGTACACGAGACAGATGATCTGGATGATTTCACAGAAATTACCCATAAGTCTAAAAGCTCCAAAATCTCCATCAAACTGTCCACCAGTGATCAAATACGTCTCATTCCAGATGTTTTCAGAAACACATCTGAGTCCTGAAGTCCATCAACTAATGAAAGATATTCCCCGTGTTGTTAACTCCTAAATAGTCGCAGTGCAAAGCACAACGCGGCTGCGGGTGCTGGTGCACGCTGGGCCGCCACTTAAGGAGGCGGCGTCCTGCTATGAGCGGAGGACGTTTACTGTACTTCATTGTGTTCTGCAAGAACCTGCCTTATAATGTTTTCTCAATGTGTGCTAGTTTATGAAGAGAAATCAAGTCCACGTAAGTTGTGTTTCACTGACAAAACACTGGCACGAGTAAAAAGAGTCCTTTTCTCCTTTGATTTGACAGTGAAAGGCCCACAATGCAAAGCTGCCTGGCCGACAGGTGGGCCGGGGGGGGCCGGGGGGGGACATTGGAAGTGTCAATTAGACAAATAGGCAGGCGATTGCAGTGGCGATGTGTTATATTCAAAGAGGACGCGCCGCTGTTTCAAGCTTCAAACGTGTTTTTGTGGTTTCGGCAGCACTAACCGCCGGCGTTGGACCGCGTAGGACGCAATTCACCAGATCGTCCTCTGACGTCCCCCCCGTTGACCTCGCCGACCTTCTACTTCTCTCAAAGATCTTTCACAGGCTTTAATACCTGATGGAAAGATGTTTAAAATAATAATAAGAATAATAATAGTAATAATAAGTCATGGTATGTTGTCTGACCTGTTATAGCTCAAAATGCAAAAAAAAAACTAAATCAATTTGACTTATAAATAATAATAAATAATAAATAAAAGAAGAACGGCTGTGAGTTCAGTTCCAGGTCCGGTCAGCCCGACGCGCACGGGGAAGCTGATGCACATTGAAGGAAGCTGCATTACGATCGCACAGTGAATGTGACACGCTGACCATCAACTCGTGTCCCGCTCGGTTTTGTTTTAGGCCGTTCCTCAAAAAAAAAACTGCGTGAGCATTTTTTTTTTAAACAACATTTTCCATTAAATTTGAACCATCTAAATATGACTTAAAATACCCTCTACTATTTTTCTTTCCAACCATCTCTGTTCTGACTAAGCTTTGATACGATATACATGTAAATACATATTTGCATATACATATATGTATATAGTACCAAAAATAAAACATTTTGATGTGAAAATGAGACTTGCTGAAGCTGTTTTAAGACGGGCGCGTTTGGCGGAGCAGTCGAACAAGCAGGTAAAGTGAGACAGCATCTGCCCCAACACGACACCCAATTAACCGCAGCACATCCATCAAGCCACTCCATTGATCTGAATCTCGCGTGTGAATATTCACACGGATGGAGAGAAACAAAGAGAGAGAAGGACGAACAGAAATACGTCACTTATTTTGCAAATTATTTCTAAACACAAAATAACGTCAATAGAAAAACCCACAGAGCAAACGCAAATCTCTTTTTTCTCCTTTTTACTTCAGTTAAGAAAGTTACACAAAAGGTGGCAAATTTTGTTGACAATAAATTAATAAATAGTTTTTGTTGCACGGGAACAAACGAAACATTTTTCTTCCAGAGCTAACGTTTTTTTCTTTTTTCTTTTTTTTTTCATAACTTATGATTAATTATACACATCTTTGGGAAAGAAAAAAACAAACAAACAAACAATATTTCTCGGACGGAAACTTATTCACACGAATGTCCCACGGAGCTTGTGGCAAAATAGAGGTATACCTTGTTGCAAATGCTTTTAGTAGTCGGGTCATGAACCTAATGCGGTAATCGAATGAAGGAAAGAGAAGCGGCGCTGTTCCGCCTCCGGACGCTCTGTCGGTGATGAAGTGCACGTGTCCAACGAAGAGGAAAAATATCACACAGGACTTGGATTAATCTCCCGGCCAGAGGTCCGTTTATTGGTGGAGTCGAGTTCTTTCTCGTTTTTGGCAACTGTAACCAGGCATGTGCGCGCGCAGCAACCGGCCGCGCGGACGCGTCCGCTTAGTCCGTCTCCTTCCGCGCGCGGACCTCCTCGGGATGCGGCCGCGCGCGGTAAAATCCCATGATTGTCTTCACAGTGTCCGAACGCGACCGGGGGGCGGGGCGGCGGGGCGGCGGGGGGCGGGGCTCTAGGCCTCGATGGGGCTGGACACCATGCTGTTCGGCGTGTCTGGAAGCTGGGACGACATGGAGGCGACCTCGCTGCCCGTCGAGTTGGAACCCGGTCCTCCTTCCGAGAAGCTGACCTGCGGGGAGACGGAAACCAGCATGTCACCAAACACGCGCCGCGACCGAGACTTCTTCTTCTTCTTCGTTGCAGTTTGATTACGGCGGGACGCCGGGAGGCCGGCGGCCTTTGGCCGTCTGCGCCACTCGGGTGTCCGCGTGCGGATTGCGGAACGAATAACGGGAAACATTTATATGCAGATGCGACACGGCGAATGGCACCGAAACAACTTCCCGCTGCCGGCCGCAATTTATCCTTTGCAGCTTATTTAGTTACTCATCCGCCTTTAAATGCGCTGGCTCCAGATGTTGACTCCACCCGCGGACGTTCGCGCGCTGAGGTCTCACAGCGGTGACGGTCAGTGAACGAGGCCAACCGCTGGTCATGTTCTAATAAGACGTCCGCCGCGTGTCTCTCCATCAACAGCGTCCGCTGAGGGGACCCGTGTGTGTGTGTGTGTGTGTGTGTGTGTGCGTGTGTGTGTGTGTGTGTGTGGTGGGGGGGCAAACTCAATCATGTCAAATAACTCTCATAGAGATGATTATCATTAGAAGAAAGATTAAGAAACCGTATTTTAATAAATCCGCGTCAGAACGTCCACGCAGACCGTGACCGACAAAGATCCGCGGACTTGGAGGAAGTCGCGTGTCCCATCGTGCAAATTCATTTAAAAAACCCATAACGCATGAGATTCTCCCCACTGCACGGAAAAACCCCACATTTAAAGTAGTGCATCTGGATAAATGAGTGGGTGACAGAGGGGGACGAACCAGTTGCTGGAAGGCCGGCTGGTCGATGTCGCTCTGCAGGGCGAAGTCGCTGAGCACCTTCCAGGGCGGCTGGTAGCTCTGCACCTCCACCGGGTTGGCCTGCAGGCCGCCGTCGTGCCGCTCCGGACTGGCCGCCACCATCGGGGTGCCCGTCATTCCCTGGATGTTCTGCAACAACAACGAAAAGGACCGGGGAGGGGGGTCAGCGGCGGGTGTGTGTGGGGATAAGAATCGGGGGGGGCGGCTCTTCTGAAATGAACCCACCGGTCAATAAGTGGGACGATCAATAAACAGCAAGCAAACAAATAAACAAGAGAGACGGAATCATATGTGTGTGCGCGCGCGCGCGCGTGTCTTCTCCACATGACGCGGCAGTCTTATTTTGGAGGGTTTTTGTGATTATTTCATTACGGGTCATTTCGGTGAAAGGCGCTGGTGTCGTGCGCCTCCACCCTCCCCGACCCCACCCGACGCTCACCGTCTTGTCGTTGGGCTGCTGCTGCTGCAGCTGCTTCATCAGGATGCTGCGCTTCTTGTCCTTGCACCGCTTGTTCTGGAACCACACGCGTATGACGCGCGGGCTGAGGCCCGTCATCTCCACCAGCTGCTCCTTCATGAGCGCGTCGGGCCGCGGGTTGGCGTTGTAGCAGGTCCGCAGCGTGTGCAGCTGCTTCTCGTTGAGCACCGTGCGCACGCGCGTGGTCTTCTCCGGCTGCTTGTGGACGTGGGGCCGGAGCGCGGGCTGCCGGGCCGAGATGGGTTCTGCTGTGGGGAAAGAACGGGACACACACCCGAGGGAGGGACGCGTCAATTCACCTGTCTGTCTGTCTGTCTGTCTGTCTCGGGTCATAAAAAACAAAAAGATGTCAAAAGAGACACAAACTGTGTGGATGAGTTGAGGACATTTTCACAGTTCGGAGTTTCATGGTGTTTTCACTATATTACGTTTGAAACCTCCTGCTGGACGAGTCTGCTTTAGTGAACACGCAGCAAACATTACGTCACAAACGTGTCATTTTCTCTGTAAAATATAGTAAACTACGCGCGAGAAGCGCTCAGCGTGACAGCGCGATCATCTGATCGGGGGTCAGATTACACACCGCGCGCGATGCTGTTGCGCGGAGGAAACCCGCTTCCTGACCCGCACCCAGCGGCACCGTGCCTGCAGCCCTGATAGCCGCGCGTGGGGGGGGGGCGATTTTTAGTTTTGTTTTTTTCTGACAGCGGAGCCTCGCTGTATCTAATCTCCCGAGCGGATAGGGGTGTATTTATAAAGGAAAGACGTAAAGGCCTCTAGAAGGAACCAGAACTGTGCGCAACCCCATCGACCCAGCGCAGGGAAAAGATACCATGTTAAATGACACATGGCGCCGTTCAGGAGGATTCCACGTGGCTGCATGACGTGTGTAATAACACATAGATCATATAGATGCACCAAGAGGCCAAGAATCAACTCGGATAATCCATTTGCTACAGGAGCTCCTGGCCAAAAATCCAATGGCGAAAAGAGCCAATCTGAGTTAAAAGCAGATGTTTTTCCAGGTGTTAAAAAAAATAAAATAAAGGCAATCCTCGCGGCCCGTCCTCCCGCTCCCCACCCCCCCGCCCGGGACGTTTACCTGCCATCTGCAGCGGGCGGGACGGGTGCAGCGGGCTGAGCGGGTCGCCGCCGCTGCCCAGGCTGGCGCGCTCCACCACGTCGTGATCGGCCCGGCAGAAGAGCCCGTCCTCCCGCAGCGCGAACTCGTCCCCCGGGATGAGCTGGCGGCTGCAGGCCACGCAGCGGAAACACTCGATGTGGTAGACCTTGGAGCGCGCCCGCATCACGAAGTCGTTCTTGCTGAAGCCGATGTTGCACTTTGCGCATTTGATGCCGTACAGCCTGCACGCGCGCGCGCACACACACACACACACAACACACGGGAGCTGATTCACTGGCACGAATGTAATTATAAAAAATAATTATACATCCATTTAAATCATTTTAAAAAGTATGACCAAAATAATTTAATGACATTTGTTATTATTATAATAATAACAAACGAAGTATTATAATAATAACCCAAATAAAACACGTTTAAAATATATGATTTATTTCTTGTTAGGAGCTATATTTAATTCATTATAATAATACTAATTATAATTATTAAAATGCTACAATTCTATTCAATTTGATTTATTTTCGTGTATTTACAACGTGAATAATTCCAGTGCAGCTTTAAAAATAATGCTGTCATTTTATAGCACCGAACGATAATGATAATAATTGTATTGTGCCGCATTAGTTAATTCCAGGCCAAGTAATAATCACAACAAAAAAGCTTCATGATGTTTAGTTTGGATTTTTCCGCATCATCCGTCTAATTGCAGTCACGGATTAATACATCCGTTAGGATGCGCGACGTGTCTCCGTTTTGTTTCTGTAAATTATGTCATCAGAACACGATGGAGGATCGACGGTAAAAAAAAAAAACTGATTAAAATAATAACATCCAAAAAATAAAATTCCAACCCGCTGAATCGGAGCTTAATCAGTCCAAATATGTTCAATATTTTATCATGTAAAAAAAAAAAGAAATATATGTAAAATAGTAGTACAGATGCAGCTCTCGCTGTCCCGGCTGTCCTACCTGATGTAGTCCCGTTTACAGTACGTCTTCCCGTCCCGGACGAAGCACGTGCAGGACTCGTCCAGGTACTGGCTGCACTCGGCGCATTTGAGGCAGGCGGCGTGCCACTCCAGGTCCGGGGAGACCCGCAGGATGTACTGGTCGTGGATCTGGTTCCCGCAGCCCACGCACAGAGATATCAGCCGCTTTTCTGGAAGACCACGCACGTGCAGGACACACATCACACACACTGCACAACTTAAAGACTTGTCCGATGATGAGCACCGATGGCCTTGCAATGATACTTGTTTTCATAGTTTTAGTGGTATTGTTATTACCACGTGTCTTTAATTGTATATATAAAGGATTTAAAACAATTTATAGTCTCAGTATAAAGTCTTAAACTTCTGTGTAGTGTTACGACACCAAAATGCGCCGAACAGGCCGGTTCCGTCCACCCTAAACGACACCGCGCAAGTCGACCCCGTCCAGGGTGCGGCGGATCTCAAGTCCGGGAGCACCGAACAAGTGGGGGGGCTTACTTTTCGGCGGATCCCCCATGTCTCCCATGTCCACAAAGTACGGCGATGCTGGGTCCACTGTCGCAGCGGGCTGCGGCGGCGCCTGGAAGCCTGCAAGTTGTCCTCTTGCTGCCGGGGGGCTCGCCGGGGCCAGGGGGGGGGAGGGGAGGGGGGGCGATGCTCGGCCGCTGCCCTGCTCGGAGAGGAAAGAGCGTGCGTGCGTATATGTGTGTTTCTTTGGCTGGTGTGTGTGGAGCTGGAGCCCGACGAGCACGCGGGCGGGGGCTCGACGTAGGACGGCGGGCGCTCATCGCCAGAGCAGCGATTGGGTTGCTGCGGACCCTGACCAGCGCTCACCCCAACACCCGGAACACACACACACGCAGGTAGAAAAGAACACGTGCGAACACACCAAAGGGCACGGCGGAACACACGCGCACGCGCCGGCACACTTTTCTGCAACATACATTTTGCTCTACGTCTCTTCACGTTATTTATGGGATTCGTTAATTTGTTCATGGAGTGCCCTTTTGTTCACACGGTCATTTATCCAGAAAAACCCCGGAAATGATCTATTTTTGAACTTTACAATGAAAGCGGGACAGAGCGTCCCATAAGGTGTGTGTGTGTGTGGGGGGGGGGTTCCACGTTGAGACAATGCACCGCTTCAATAACGCGCATATTCAAATGAGTTTTGCGACTGCGGGATTAAACCCTGGCATCCTCACAGCGTTACCTTTAACCCCCCCCCCCCCCCCCGCTTTGGGTCGACCCAGAGCAGCAAAGAGCTCCTCAGCAGGTGATGGCGTAAATCAGGGCGGCTCCAGACCCCGCAGCATCAGCTCGGACACACGCCGACGCCCTCTTGCGTTAGTCACCCCATCGCTCCTCTGTCACGGAGTTCCGTTGGAGACGCGGTCTCTGCAGGACCCGAGTCAAGCTCACAACCTTGAGCTGGATCTGAAGTCAGGTCTCAGATCTTTGGTTCGCTAAAAGATAATAATAATAATAATAAATAAATACTAGAATGCATCATTTTAATATTCAAACCATGATTTATTTTATGCCACACTGAGACGGACTAAAATACAATGTAGACCTTTTAAAAAGAAGCCAATTTCTATCCCATCATATGAGGCTTTACTGAATGGGAGGTTTAGTGGGTGACCGTTATGTTCACTGATATGCAGAATAACTCTTTGGTTCCGAACGCCTCTGCAGGGCTTCCTCTCTCTCCAGACCGGATTCTTCTTTGCATTAAAAACGACATCTTTTCCATTTGTGTGGTCCTCTCTTGCTTTCATCTTTTAGCTCAAAAATGAGATTCAAAAATCCAAACTTGTATTTAAAGCAGTAAACAGTGTTTAATAACCGACACAATTACAGATGAGCCGTGTAGCTTAACATCTGCATTTATCCACATCACAACTTTCTAAAGCAAATTTCCAGTGGTCAACGGTAACAAATATCTTCACCATCATTTGTATTTAAATGCATGAAGGCCAAATGTATGCTTATAACTGACTTCTTTCAAAAACAGTCCATAAGCAAAATAAAATCCCTTGTCTAATTATCAAAAGGGTTAATAAGTCCATCGTAAAGACATTGAAAAACAGAAATGAACGTAGAGGTTATACCACGAAAACAAACACTGTCGGTGCTTCATTGGAATCACATTATATAACGTTTACATTTTCAGCATGTTTCATGTAAAGAAAAAGGCTGTGCAGTGTATAATACATCACAAACACATGAAATAGTGTGACATGTAGAAGTGTTACAGCGCAGTGGACAAATGTGTGTAAGTGAACCGGATGATAAATTGACCTTATACATGTCACCTTGAAATTCTCTGTTTGATTACTTTTGACTGAAATTATACGTTCAAATGTTGGAAAAATAAGATTGTAGTAATCTGCGATTGTATTCTAACCCTCTTTATCTGTATCTTTGTCTTCCGGTTGTAAAAAATGGGGTCTATGAGAAAATGACCTCCTCTCTCTTGATTCGTTCCCTCAGTAAACATTATTATTGTGAGTTTATGTTCTTAACGTGTCACAGTTTAATCGAGCTGGAATAACTGGAAGGATCCTGTACAGTGTCAAAAGAGAAAAGCACAGCTGACACACTGCATGGCTTTTCCTTCGTCAGCCTGTGAAACCTTTGGGAGGGCCGGCCAATCAGTTTCAGTCCACAGCGCAGTATGATTCAATGCAAAAAAGGTATCAAACATGCATTATTACAATAAAATATTAAATTGTTGGAAAAAATGTTGAATAATTAACATAATAAGGACATCATATTCAAACAATTCAGTATATTAATGAATATTTACGTAACGGTATATATAAAACAGTATTCGGAATATGATATAACTACCATATCTGTTATAAATATCTAATATGAATATCTATAATAAATATATCGTATTAGAGGATAAATATATTACAATATGAATATATTTATATAAAATGTATCAGAACATGTATATATATATATATATTTATGCAAATACAGGGCGTTAGCATGTAGCTAACTAGCTAAACATCCCGGCGTAGAAGTCTACAGAAGCCTCATATATCTCCTTCCCTTCCACGCCGGTCCGCGGTCTGACCGTGAGGTCGGGCTGGTCTGGTCCCGCTGTCTTTCCTCTGGTCCTTCTCTCTAGCGAGTTGGGGGTCGGGTCTTCTCGGAGGACACTGCCGGTGGACGCTCTCGTTATGTTGTCAAACGGCGCGTCGGAGACTCGCCCTGACAGAGCGCAGCGCAGGGCGCCGAAGGGCCCAAACCTCAGTGTATTTTAGATGATGTCACTCATTTATCTTTCAATTGCAATCAATCACCCAAGTTACTGATAGATAATGTCTAATTTACATATTCAAACAGAACTTAAAACTTCAAAACTACAAAAAAAATAATTTTCTTGAAATAAGTAATCAACTGGGGAATTTTTGCGTTGATACATATTGGTTCATCATTTAAACTATTCGCCCGTGGTCTATAAAATGGATGCAGCTTTGTAAAACATTTAGGCCATTTCTTCTACTTCTGATTTAGCTCGGACTTGGCGCCACAAATCTCCACTTCAGCAGTTCTCACATCTAACTTTCCATTCATTCCCATCTATTTCAAAAGTTTTAATTGGGTTTGTTCATATATCATTCATAACACAATATATACAAGTATTACTATAGACAAGCCATCATGGATTCCTTATTTAATGGCTGTTGATAGTATTTTCTGATTTATCGACAGATACAAATATATGTAAAAAATCCTGTAAAGTATCAGCAAAAATATGAAATAAATAAATAAATGAAATAACAATTTTGAGCCTAGCTTTATCAAATGTTCAAATGTAAAAGCATAGAGGGAGAGCTAAGGAATGTTTCGGGTTCAATGGTGCCTCTTACAATACTTGGTCTTTGTTTTCTCTGCGAAGGGTTTGTTTCCAGTGAAGAGGGAAGTTTATCTTGAAAATACCCTTTGCTGTAAGCAGCAGACATTTTATTGACACAATTTTTCGAAAAATAGGTTTATATTGCATGAGTTGTAATGTAGTAAATTCATATTTTTTAGTATGTTTAATTTCAATATAATCCCTTTAAGGTTTTTAATTTGTTTCATGGTGTTACATAACATTTTAAGAGGCCTCATGGTCTGCAATTGAGCCAGGTGCTCTCTTTGTATCCCAGGACACATCAATAATTGTATCCTTTGATAGGCACTCCTCTGAAAACAGCAGTGGGAAACCCATCTTTAAAAAAATCAATTTCAATGATATTCCAATTATTGTTATCAATGGTCCTGTACTGTGACACAAAGGGTTGTCTTCTCCTGGTTCCTTTTTTGTTGTTGTTAAACAAGATCCTGCTTTTTTAGCTTATCCTTCATGAAAGTTTGTCTTTTTTCTTTGTTTCACTGGTTAAATTATAGTTTCCCATTTCTTTACACAGTCTAATTTTTATTAAAAACTGCAAGGTCTTTTAAGGGTTGTTGTAGAGGGCAGACCAGACCGTGCTCTACAGTATGGTCTGCTTCTCCACACTCACAGGTGGTTGGGCCAGTCTTGTAGCCCCATCTGGCCTCAGCAGCCTTTGACCTTCCTGTTCTCAATCTGAGATGGTTTGAAGTTTTCCATTGAAACCATTGTGCTTGTGGGTTTTCATTGGGGGTCTTTCCATGACAGTTGGAGAAGGGTCTTTCTCAAGCTTTTCCATCTACAGTTGGATTCTGGTTTCTTCCTGAAACTTTTTAGGGGCTGGCCATGGCTGCGAAAGCTTCTTCTTGACTTTAGCCGTTGGACTGGAGGTTGACATCCATGGAAGAGATGGCCTTCATCACTTGTAGATTTTCTTTTTCCGACTCGGCAGGCAACATCCCGTCTAATATCGGCTGGGGCAATGCCAGCCAGGAGGTGAAGGTTGCTTGTATTGGTGGGTTTCAAGCGGCCGGTGATCAGGCAGAAGGTGTTGTTCAGTGCTCGGTCAAGTTTCTGGCCTGGGTTGACCTCTCCAAAACCGGGCATGCATATTCTGTAGAGGAGTAGCACTAGGCCGGAGTAGTAGACGTGTGTGCAGTGGTTCCCCACTTGGAGTTGGTCGGTTTCCGTAGGATGATGTTTCGGGAATAGAGTGGTTACAGTGCTCAAGTGTTGTTCCAGACTATTTAATGATAAGTGCTTGGTTGGCTTCACCGTTCCTGAGAAGGAAGGAGCAGACTTGGGTCTTTGCAGGGTTGGCACGCAGGTGGTTCCACTTATAACGGCGAAGTAACTTATCTATAGCTGTGGTGAGGTTCAGTTCTACTGCTTCAAACAAGTTATCTTGGGATGTTACACAGACATCGTCTGTTGGTAGCGGGGCAGCACACTACCTTACTGAATTGAGCGAAAGCCTAATGTCTGGATTGAAAGCTATCTACCGATCAGCAACGCGTTTGCCGGTTTGCTTGCAAAAATGTCGTTGGGCTTCATTAGGGTTCGGTCCCCAAATCAACCTGTAAACTCAATTTTGTCATTGTCGGGACGTCGTTTGTCATATTCAAATATCCATGAGCTGACAATAGTTATTGTTCACTAGCAGTGAAAATGATTACAGGTACATCTGCATAATGACCATGAAGCTCAGGTCATATCGGATTGATTGGCGAGGTTAGGCACGCTCCCACAATGTTGCCTTTAAGTTGTCAAAT